TGTTAACCTGTTACATTAAAAAATGAAATTAGTTGTAGGGAAAAAACTAAACATTTATGCAACACAGTCATAATTTTACACTCAAGAAATTATCATTGTTAAGGCGCCACAATTGCAGAACATCCACTTATAGTAGATAAAGGGAGACTAACTAACTAATCACATATTTCTAGACTTTTCTCAGTCATGGGACCAACATCAATATCCAACAAAGGCCTGCCAGATTATTTAGATGCATTGATTGCATTCCATGTATATAGTTAAAGCTTCCAACTTGAGAAGATTGAACGTAGGCTCGTATTTGACGCAATTCCCACTCCACCTTAATTACTTATTTGGTATCATTTCCAGAAACATTAAGGAATGGAATTCCGATCCACCCAAATTCTGTAATTCCATGATTTCATCGAAGATTTTCCATGGTCACAGTTACCAAGCAAAGAAAATTGATATTAGAAGACTGTTATCATATTGAATTGCTACAAGTTAAGTCGAAGAAGTGGTGCTCAACACATTGGTAAAGAAGCCAAATGCAAAATTTTGGTAGAAATTAGAATAAAATCACCAATAGAAGAGAAAAAAGCGCACCTTCCTTTTTAAGCAAAGCAAATCTGGATCCCAAGGGATGAATTATTTGAAAAGAAAGAAGATGCATGCATCCACACAATTTATACATATATCAAACAAAATTCAACTTTCAAATGGTATATAATATAGGTAGAGCGATTAGGGCAACGAAAGCACGCAACAACGCTGTACAAGGAAGGAATCGTGCAAGGAGATAGATAGGAAAGCGAATACTAATACATATCATACAAACCTTGATCAAAGCAACAACAAAATAGTTAATTAACTCTAATTATAAAAGCATCAAATCACATGACCTTGACATCCAATTCAACTGAGATCCCAAGATAGCAAAAAAAGAAAAAAAAAAAAAAAAGAAGAAAAAGAAAAAGAAAGAAAGAAAAAAAAGAAAAAAGAAAAAATATCTACTAGAAAAAAAATTTTATGGGAAAATTATCATCGAGAAATCAATCTTAGATTAATAGGTCATTTTTCAACCAAATCAAAGTGTGTTAAACAGGGTTCCAGATATAAAAAACTTGATATAAATTTGTAATAAGAAAAAAAGCTTAATATGAGTTGGTCGATGTTCCTGTAGCTTGCGTTTGAATGACAGGTAAAGCACTTGCTCCTATATATATTTTATCGTTAGTAGCTCTTTATAAGAGAAGGAATGTACATAAAAGCATCTTGTGTAACAATATATAACATTTTCTATAAGGCAAAAAAATTAAGAGGGTCAAACATTCCCATTGAAGAACTCACGGGAAAATTTGTAGTTGTAGAAGATCCCCAGTATTTCAATGATACTAAATCATAAGCTCTAGCAACCTTTTCTTACTGGTCATATGCTCCTAAACGATTTCACATCCTTCTCCTGTACTTAGAGGTGTAAGTTTGACAGCAAGGATCTATATCACACAATATATAAATTCACTTTTAGGATGAAAGTAAGCTAATTTTTTCTCCTAACCCAAATTTGTACTTATTCCAAACCTCCCCCTAAAACAAAAAAATAAAAAATAAAAAAATGAAGACCTAATTTTGTCTCTCAAATATTACATTCCCTAGTTGGTTCACTGAATAAAAATAATTACTTTACAAAACTGTAGATACTATAATAGAGGAAAAATCAACTCACATGCAACAGTAGAGTAATAAAATGAAGAGAACTACCTTACGGGTGTTGGGACATCAGAAACTACTTGCTCCTTGCTTGGTGATCTTCCCAACGCGGATGGAAACAAGAGACGTGCAGAAAGACCTAGACAGCATACCCACTTCCAATAGCTGAAAGTGTTGTTTCATTATCACAGTAGGTAGATGTTACTTGAGTTGATAAAAGGAAATAAAAAGGGCATTATGTACACAACCTTTTCTATATATAATTGAAGCACATATCAATATGAGAGACTAAATAAATTATTCCAACTCAAATATATCTTTCCTAGCCAACAAAGTAGAGAATTGTAACAAACCAAATATGTTTAGGGAAATATTTTATTTGCAACATAAAGTAAGAATTGAATGAAGTGTAATGAAAACTACGTATTAGAAGCTCATTGTCCTATTTTGTTGGCTTCCTCTTTCACAATAGAAATTGCTCATTGTCAATATTGTTATTTATTAATTCAAAAGCAAATCAATAATAATTGAAACAGAAGCAAATAAGAAGTGATTCTCTATTATGTACATGAATACCCACCTCGTTCAAATATTTCCAATTCCACCGAGGCTAATTTTTTTGTTATCCTCGTCCTCTTTATACAATCAATCACCGATAAAAATTGAATTCTTATAGTATAATAAAATTCCTATCTATAGTGGACTTAATCAAACACCAAATATTCATGCTATGCCTTTCTTTAAATAATTTGTCAATATGGTTCATCCATCATACCTGAGATCTCATTGCTAAGGAATAAAATTCTTCGGTTTTCATCTTTTAAAACATATTAATCTTAATTTGATGCAAATTATAAAAATCTTCTAAAATCAATTATTAAATTTACCAGATACAATGGGGTACGAACAATACAAGTAAATGAAAATCACTTTTGCAGGCAAATCAGGATTGGACTTAATGAACTCATTTCTGTAGGCATTCATCATAAAATCCATAGTAACAAAACAACGGCATATTTAGAATACTAAAACTACAAAGTATCCAGATGACTTTGTGGAACAAGGGGTTAAACGAAATCGAAGTAAATTACTCAGCTTCAACTAATATCTGATACTTGAAAATACTCAAGCATCCACAGTGGAAGAACCACAGCTTCTTCTAAAATTCTTTTTGCTTTGCTCAACCTAACTACATCATCCTATCTAACACCAGGATTGGTCTCCAAGACATCCCTTTGAAGCATAGCAACCAAGTCTCCATTGGGCCGTTCATATTGCACCTTCTTCGACTTTCCCTACCTAAATTCATAAAAGAATAGACTTTGTTTCACTCCCTTTTTCATTCCAATTACTATTCCAGAATATGCTAATTCCCTGCACCATTAAGAATAAATATTTTTAAAAATAAATATTTTCAGCAATTAACTCTTGAAAATTGAATTTGTTCTTCATCTATGTCATTTAAAATCAAGTTTATTTTCTCCTCAGTAACACCATTAACAACATGATGCAGAGACTACGTAGTTTACAAAACTGCTAGATAGTTTCATGAAATGCCTCATAAATTCACTAATAGGACAAGTAAACTGCAATTTTTAGAAACCATGTGCCCCATAGTTTGCTCAAGTAGGCTCAACAACGAGATTACGTGACAATATAAAGGGAACAAAAATGACTTGCGTCAAGACACAAGAAGGTTATAAATAGAAACCATAGGGGCTTACCTTGGGCGAAGCCATTTCATAAAAGTAGTAGAGTGGCAAGTAGGCAAAGAAGAGTCAAGTAGCCTCACTACCAAAGCAGTATCAAGTGTGCTCTGGCATTGAATATGAAAGAAGTTAATTAGTCAAAACAATAGGAACAAAAATGCATCCATGTAAAAGATATAATCTGAAAGTTATAAAATCAAGAGTAGCACCACATACTAAAAGCTCACCAAGAGTTCCAAAAGAAAAATGAAAAAGGACATTTTGACCATAGATCCCACCATTACAATCAAACTTATTTGGCATGAACATAAGACATGGGTTGCCATTTCATAAAGTGATATAATAAGTATTTTGTCTCCACGAATTAGAGGAAAAAGGCCAATACACTAATTTCCATAAGTTTAATACTAAACAAAGTCAAAGATGATATTCAGAATTAAAACTTGAAACGGAATAAAATTGGAAACCAGAATTGAATTTGATGACTAATAAATCCAAACAGCATTCCAGATTCGACTGAAATGTAACAGGCACTCCTTTAAATGTGTTAGAAGATCCCAAATACCCATGTTTTGATCATCGCATAACTTGATTCACTTAATACGCTATGAGTCTACACTAATTTCAGCTAGCAAATTATGGATCCTAATTCTCCTTTTAACTTCATATTGAATAGATCAACCATATAAAAATTCAACATTAATCTAAATAGTGCACAAAATTGAGGTTTAATGCCTTATCAAACCAGAAATCAAAAGGAATTTTCACTTCAGGTATTGTTGCACATTTCGAGCCATCACTTGATACAACACTACACCTTAAGCTACAAATGAAATAAATAACCCAGTCAATCTCAATTACGTAACTCAAAAACCTTTGCTCGACAAATATTCAATGTCACCACCTGACAAACCGAATCACAAGAAACCTTGATTGAGGAACAATGATCCCGTGGAGACACCAAAAGAGTCTAAAATTGAACCCTTGAACTTCAGTAGAGCAGATCCTCCCGTATCAGAACCCCAAACTGTGTGTTGTTGAACCTAAAACAATACCGAAATGAAAATTAATAGCTTCAACAGCTTGTGCAAACGGAATAAAAAAACTTACCAAAGATCCTCGCTTCCCTTCAAAAAAGAAGCAATGAACGAGATCCCAAAACCAAAAGAAAATAGAAACTTACCTGACATAGACTTTGCTGCTGTGGTTACGGCAAATGGGAATTCTAATGGAACGAAAGGGAGCTCCGGCCTTTTCTACGAAGGGGATGGAAGGAATTAAATCAGGATTATCTCGACTCCGACAAGCCCTCACTACGCTGTAAAACCTATCTCCATGTAGGAAAAGGATAAGGGAAAGGAAGGAGGTTAAAAGGCTGAATCGTGTGGGAGAAGTGGACCATTAAAGCACTTGTTGAAGAGATATTTTGTGCATTGAAAGAAACTGGTTAGTGAACAGTAATTATCTAGTTAAAGTGTGAAAAGGAAGGCAGAAAAATGAACAATAAAAAGTTCATTGCCTCTGTTTATTAAGTGCATATTTACATGTATTTAATTTTTTAAATTAAATATTAATAAAAAATGTACTACAAATAAAAGTAAAAAAAAAAAAAAAGTGGATAAACTTCCGTGCACGGAGGTTTGGTAAATTTTTGACTCTTTTTTTTTAAAAGGTTTTTTTTTTTTTTTTTTTTTTTTTGTAAACTTATGTTTTTGTGTTCATTTTCAGGCAACTTACGGTATATCAAACGAAATCGAAATATTACATTCTTAATATCATTTTGAAGTATTCGCGGCATAGTATTGCACGTCGTTAACGGTGCATGAAACGGCTAATCGTAGCAAATATTACGAGATGTCAAAATCGTCATTTTCAAACTATATTTCGAAATTTTCGATAATAAGTTAATTTTAAAAATTCATTGACGATTGTACGATAGTCGAATCGATAAATGTTTTACATTCTCTCGAAACTCATTTCAAGAACTATATCATGACACATCGAATGATCTAAATGAATATCGAAAATAGTTAAACGGACCTTAAACGTATGTGCTAAAAAATGCGTATAAGTCGTTTTTCTTAAAAAAAATTAATTATTTTATTACTATTTATTATTTTTGCAACAATTTTCTCAATACATCATTTTGCTTAAAAAAATTTATGTGGTATGACGTAAATTTTTTTCTTCATGCACGGAGTGAATATGCTTCTTTTTTTTTTTTTACATTTTATTTACATTAATTTTGTTTATTAATATAATTTTAAAATTTTAAATATATAAGATATAGTTGATAGTTAATAGCGTGAGAATTAGAAGAAATAGTATGATGTGTCAGATTCAAAGCAAGGGAGAAATAATGTAGTGGACAATGGTGTGTGACAAAATTCCTACAGTATTTTTAAATAGAATTTTTCTTATTGCCAAACCAATTCCAAAACCAATTAAGTTATTTAAAAGTAAAAGAAGAGATTACAATATCTAAAAGATAAAAATTACTTATAAGTAAAAAAATCACTTCAAGTTATTTAAAATAAAAAAATTTATAATTATAAAAGCTACTTATAGGTAAAAAGAAATAAAAAAAAAAATATATATATATATATATATATTAATCCCTCATTCTCTTATAATTTAAAAAGCTACTTATATAAAAAAAAAAATGTGCACTTAAAAATTTTTTTAGTATAAATATTTAGATATATTTAGTTTTTATAATTAAATATTAATAAAAAGATTAAACTATCTAGAACGTAAAAAGTTACTTATAAGTAATAAAATCATTTCAAGTTATTTAAAAGTAATAATAAAAAATTATAATTGTAAAAGTTACTTATAGGTAAAAAATATTAACTTCAACATTTTTAAGTAAATATTTAGATAAATTCAATTTTTTAAAATTAAATAGTAATAAAAAAATGTACTATAAATAAAACTAAAAAAAAAGTGCACATTGGTGAGGGGACTCCCCGCATGCATAAAACTCCGTGCACGGAGGTTATAACCTACGTGCACGGAGGTTTGCTAAAGTAGTCTTTTTTTATTTTAAACTTATGTTTTTATGTTCATTTTCAAACTCATTACGAAATATCAAACGAAATCGAAATATTACATTCTTAATATCATTTTGAAGTATTCGCGGCATAGTATTGCACATTGTTAACGGTGCGTAAAAATACTAATCGTAGCAAATGTTACGGGACGTCAAAATAGGCATTTTCAAACTATATTTCGAAATTTTCGATAATAAGTTAACTTTAAAAATTTATTAACGATTGTACAATAGTCGAATCGATAAATATTTTATATTCTCTCGAAACTCATTTCAAGAACTATATCATAGACACATCGAATGACCTAAATGAATATCGAAAATAGTTAAACGAATATTAAACGTATGTATTAAAAATGCGCATAAGTCCTTTTTCTAAAAAAAAAATCAATTATTTTATTACTATTTATTATTTTTTCGCAACAATTTTCTCAATACATCATTTTGCTCAAGAAAAATTATGTGGTATGACGTAAATTTTTTTTCCATGCACGGAGTGAATATGTATTTTTTTTTTTTACATTTTATTTATAAAAATTTTGTTTATTAATATAATTTTAAAAATTTAAATATATAAAATATGATTGATAGTTAATAGTATGAGAATTAGGGGAAAGAGCATGATATGTCAGATTCAAAGTAAGGGAGAAATATTGCAGTGAACAATGGTGTGTAACAAAATTTTTACAGTATTTTTGAAGAGAATTTTTCCTGTTGCCAAACCAATTCCCGAACCGGTTTAGTTATTTAAAAGTAAAAGAAGAGATTACACTATCTAAAAGATAAAAAATTACTTATAAGTAAAAAAATCACTTCAAGTTATTTAAAATAAAAAACCTATAATTGTAAAAGCTACTTATAGGTAAAAAAATATATATGTGAATCCCTCATTCTCTTATAATTGCAAAAGCTACTTATATAAAAAAAATGTGAACTTAAAATTTTTTTAGTATAAATATTTCGATATATTTAGTTTTTAAAATTAAATATTAATCAAAGGACTAAACTATCTAGAATGTAAAAAGTTACTTATAAGTAATAAAATCACTTCAAGTTATTTAAAAGTAATAAAAAATTATAATTGTAAAAGTTACTTATAGGTAAAAAATATTAACTTCAACATTTTTAAGTAGATATTTAGATACATTTAATTTTTTAAAATTAAATATTAATAAAAAATGTACTATAAATAAAACTAAAAAAAAAGTGCACATTGGTTCGGGGACTCCCCGCACGCATAAAACTCCGTGCACGGAGGTTATAGGTTTGCTAAAGTAGTTTCTTTCTTTTTTTATTTTTTTCAACTTATATTTTTATGTTCATTTTCAGGTTCATTACGGGATATCAAATGAAGTCGAAATATTACATTCTTAATATCACTTTGAAATACTCGTGACATAGTATTGCACGTCGTTAACGGTGCGTGAAACGGCTAATTGTAGCAAATGTTACGGGGCGTCAAAATAAGCATTTTCAAATTATATTTCGAAATTTTCGATAATAAGCTAACTGTAAAAATTCATTGACGATTGTACGATAGTCGAATTGATAAATATTTTACATTTTCTTGAAACTCATTTCAAGAACTATATCATAGACATATCAAATGATTTAAATGAATATCGAAAATAGTTAAATGGACATTAAATGTATGTGTTAAAAAATGTGTATAAGTCGTTTTTCTTTAAAAAAAAAATCAATTATTTTGTTACTATTTATTATTTTTCCGCAGCAATTTTTTCAATACATCATTTTGCTCAAGAAAATATATGTGGTATAATGTAAATTTTTTTCTCCATGCACGGAGTGAATATGTTTTTTTTTTTTACATTTTATTTATAATAATTTTATTTATTAATATAATTTTAAAAAGTTAAATATATAAGATATGATTGATAGTTAATTGCGTGAGAACTAGGAAAAAGAGCATGGTGTATCAGATTCAAAGCAAGGGAGAAATATTGCAGTGGACAATGGCGTATGACAAAATTCCTACAGTATTTTTGAATAGAATTTTTCCTGTTGGCAAACCAATTCCCGAACCGATTAAGTTATTTAAAAGTAAAAGAAGATATTACACTATCTAAAAAATAAAAAATTACTTATAAGTAAAAAAATCACTTCAAGTTATTTAAAATTAAAAACCTATAATTGTAAAAGCTACTTATAGGTAAAAAAAAAAAAAAAAATTAATCCCTCATTCTCTTATAATTGCAAAAGCTACTTATATAAAAAAAAATGTGAACTTAAAATTTTTTTAGTATAAATATTTAGATATATTTAGTTTTTAAAATTAAATATTAATAAAAAGATCAAACTATCTAGAACGTAAAAAGTTACTTATAAGTAATAAAATCACTTCAAGTTATTTAAAAGTAATAAAAAATTATAATTGTAAAAGTTATTTATAGGTAAAAAATATTAATTTCAACATTTTTAAGTAAATATTTAGATACATTTAATTTTTTAAAATTAAATATTAATAAAAATGTACTATAAATAAAACTAAAAAAAAAAAGTGCACATTGGTGCTGGAACTCCCCGCACGCATAAAACTCCGTGCACGGAGGTTATAGGTTTGCTAAAGTAGTTTCTTTCCTTTTTAACTTTTTTTTTAACTTATGTTTTTGTGTTTATTTTCTGGTTCATTACGGGATATCAAACGAAATCGAAATATTACATTCTTAATATCATTTTGAAGTACTTGCGATATAATATTGCACGTCGTTAACGGTGCGTGAAACGACTAATTGTCGCAAATGTTACGGGACGTTAAAATAGGCATTTTCAAACTATATTTCGAAATTTTCAATAATAAGCTAACTGTAAAAATTCATTGACGATTGTACGATAGTCGAATCGATAAATGTTTTACATTTTCTTGAAACTCATTTCAAGAACTATATCATGGACACATCAAATGATTTAAATGAATATCGAAAATAGTTAAACGAATATTAAACGTATGTGTTAAAAAATGCGTATAAGTCGTTTTTCTTTAAAAAAAAAAATCAATTATTTTATTACTATTTATTATTTTTCCACAACAATTTTCTCAATACATCATTTTGCTCAAGAAAAATTATGTGGTATGACGTAAATTCTTTTCTCCATGCACGGAGTGAATATTTTTTTTTTAACATTTTATTTACAATAATTTTATTTATTAATATAATTTTAAAAAGTTAAATATATAAGATATGGTTGATAGTTAATTGCGTGAGAATTAGGAGAAAGAGCATGGTATGTCAGATTCAAAGTAAGGGAGAAATATTGCAGTGGACAATGGCGTGTGACAAAATTTCTACAGTATTTTTGAATAGAATTTTTCCTGTTGCCAA